TCATCTCACCCTGTATACCACGATAATGTCATAGCATCATGGGACACAGTAAATTCTACCAGTAAGTTCTTCTGCAAACATAGATTTCTCAACTTTGGCTGTTACACAAGCTTCTTGCTAAAGGTGTATAACGATTTCTGCTATGTAATAAATGATGCCTTAGTAGTTTTTTTCTTCTCCATCTTTAGTGACAAACTTCATCACCTTCACCGAGAAAGTAATGTATGACCTTCCAGAAAAAGCTGGCTTTGCTAAGGTTATCCTGTATTTGTTACATGGCTTTCTGTAACAATTTGACAAAGGTTTCATAGAAGACAATCTTTTGGAGACAGGAACGAATGTATTGCAAGTACAATAAATAGTTTCTAGTCATCTACCACTACATTTTTTACATTAATACACTCTATTTTGCTGTTAATGCACAATATATCACTTCTAATACATACACCAGACACTATATGAACACTAAAGCTCTATATCATTATGTTTACATTAATTCTTTAAAATGTTGGGGATAAAATTCTATCACTTTTTCTCTGAAACTGCAAATAACCTGTATATTTTATGTGTTCAGAAATCACATCCTGACCAGTGGGTTCTCATATTTTTTTGGTCCAGATTCTTATGTCTTAACTAATATTGAGGGCTCAAAAGAGCTTTTTTTTGTAATGTCTAATGACTATCGTATTAGATTAAACTAAAATTAAATACTTATATCTACTTAAAACGCAATACACTCAGTTCAATTTCAATGTAATCAACATATTTTAATGCAAGATTTCACACAAATAAAAACAAGTTTATTGAGAAGAGTGGACTGTTTTATATTTGCAAATCTCTTCACCTTCTGGCTTAGAACAATGCCGGATTCTTACATTTGCTTTCTGCATTCAAATATGGTGGCAATTTATGGATTTGGATTAAAGCTATACAGAAAAATCAAGCCACATTAAATAGAATATGTAGTTGGAAAGGGCACGAATATTTATAGCCTTTTCGCTGGTATTTGTGCCTCACGCCTGTAATCCTAGCACTTGGGAGGCCAAGGCAGAGAACTTACTTGAGCTTGAGGAGTTCAAGAACACTGAACCAGAGAGGGAGACCCACGTCTCTTACAAAAAATGAAAAATTGTAGCTAGGTGGTGCACGTAACCTGTAGCCCCAGTACTGGGAAGGCGGAGGTAGGTAGGATCCCTTGAACCCAGGGTTTGAGTTCAGTGAAACTATGATGATGTCACTGTACTCGTATCCTATGGTGCACAAGCAACGACTCTGTCTTAAAAGAGTAAAGTCTTTTCTGAATGTAGTTGAAAAGAATAGCCATATCAAAACTCAACAAGTATAGCTTCAGAAGGTTCATTTTAACATAGAATTACTGCAACATACTCATGACTTCTTGTATACTGTGCATGCATGAAAAAATGAGTGAAAAAACAAATAGTGTCTTAGTATTAAAACATGATCACCAATATAAAATCGGATTATTTTTATTTTCTTTTCACCAGCAAAGGTGAGGCAATTTTCTCTATTATTATAACTTTTTTCCACTGGTTGAAGAAAAATACAACCACAAATATGTTAATTGTTTTCTGAAGACAAGTCATTAGAACTGGACTCAAACTGTAATTTTAAACTATTGGAGAATGTTACTGTTGCCAAAAGAAATATGAGAAACCTCAGACACAGCATGTGGGAGCTCCTCCTCAGGAAATCCTTCTGGTTCACTATTCCTGTAAATCTTAGCTGACAGAAAATACATATCATAACACCAGAAAGAATTTTGCTAAATAAAAAAGCCAAGAACCTTTGGTTCTAGTGGCAGAAACATATTTTTGCAAGAAAAATAAACAAAAATCAACAGAAAACCCCAAGATTTTTGCTGAAGAAGGACTTCAAGAAAAATGACCCATCCAAGTCTTACACTACTGGTACTGCATGCCAGCCTCTCTGCCCAGTCCACTTAAAGATATCAGATCCCCTACCCTAATGGATACATAAAGTATGAACTACCCACTTAATGCACTGCTTATTTTCTTCATGATCTATGCTGCATTCTGTAAAGTGTCAGTATCATTATTGCTGGTTTGCTTTTCTTTTTTTTTTTTAAGAGGCAGGGTTTCTCTCTGTTGCCCAGGCTCAAGAGCAGTAGCATGATCATAGCTCACTGTACCTTGAATTCCTGGGCTCAAGCAATCCTCCAGAATCAGGGCTACAGGCACATGCCTGGCTATTATTTCAAATATTTTTTTGTAGAGGTAGGGGTCTTGCTATGTTGACCAGGCTGGTCTCAACTCCTGGCCTCAACTGACCTGCCCACTTCAGCCTCCTAAAACACTGGGATTACAGGTGTGAGCCACTGTGCCTGGCCTGCATTTTAAAATGAAGATTAACTAGTTCAGAAATGGAAGTGATGGGTAAAATGCTTTATTACTAGCTTCACTCTTCTAAACTGCTTTAAACTCTTACAGAGAGAATAAGTTGTAAGCTTTTGGGTCTATGACCAGAGAGAAATAGGCCAAAGATGGCAGAATTAGGCAAGTCACTTGATAATAAATACTAATACTTACTAAACATCCCCTATGTGCCAGGAAACATTTAGGCATGGGATAAAACAAAACAAGCAGAGGTCTTTGCTAAAATGTTTCATCCTGTGATACTTCCGATAAGACTATAGTTTATCAGGCTTTCAATATTACCAAGGAAAATACTGAGTGGTCTGGTACTTTTTAGGTAGGCTCTGTTTCTGGAAAATCCTTTCTTTGTCTCAGCTTCCTTAAGTACAAAATAAAAATGTTATGAGACTCTTAAACTTGTTCATGTAGTAAAATAAAATTCATGATGCTCTCTGAAAAACAAGATAAAAAAGTGGTATGTTAAAATATAGAATTTTGTACTAAACCAAATGCCATGTTATCTTACGCAATCAGCTAAATCCAGAATAGAGAAATTTGACAGATCAAATTGCCCACTTTCTTCAATAAATAAATGACATAAAAAAGGTAAGGGGGTGGGGAAAATGTTAAAGACCACAGGGACATATCACCTAAATGCAACATATGGACCTTGCTTCAATCCTCATTGGAACAACTATAAGAAAATATTTTTGAGAATTTGAGGAAATCTAAACACAGATCAGGTATTAGATATTGGGGAATTATTAGGGTCATCATTTTTTTAAAAAGTTCAGTCTTTGTCCATTTTGTATTGCTATAACAGAATACCTGACACTGGGTAATTTATAAAGAAAAGAAGTTTATTTAGTTCACAGCTCGGTAGGCGAGGAAGTTTAAGGGCATGGCGCTGGCTTACAGCAAGGACTTTCCTGCTGTGACATAACATGGGAGAGGTCAAAGGGGAAGTGGACACCAGTGAAGGGGCCAAACACAAAGGACATACTCGTTTTTTTTTTTTGTTTGTTTTGTTTTGTTTGTTTGTTTGTTTTTTAACAACCCATTCTTGTGGGAACTAATCCATTCTCAAGAAAACAAATCCAGTTTTGAGAAAGAACTCACTCACTACCATAAGAATAGCACCAAGCCACCCACAAGGGCATAGCCCACATGACCTAAATGCCTCCCAATGAGGCCACTCCTCTTAAAGGTTCCACCTCCCAATGCCTTTGTGTTGGCAATTAAATTTCAACTTGAGTTGTGGTGAGGACAAACCACATACAAACCATAGCAAAGTACTTATCTGTTACAGGTACATATGATGCATTTACAGGTTAAATTAGGTAATGTCTGGGATTTGCTTTAAAATACTCCAAGACAAAAGGAAGGGGTGGGAGATGAGACAGTTTGATAAAATTAACAGCTGCTAAAGCTGAAGCTGAAGCTGAGTGATAGGTACATGGAGTTTTCATTGTAGTATTCTCTTTTTATATGTAATTTTAAAGTCCATAATAAATGTCTTTTAAAAATCAGATGCTAAATTTTCCTAGATTCTGATATAACAGGTTTAGAAAATATAATGGTAAAAATATTAAAAACTTCAACTTATTTTAAACTGAGGGAAGATTACCTTATATTTTATGTATTTATTTTGCTTTTCATAATTTCTTTTTTCTTTTTTTTTTTTTTTTAGAGTCTCATTCTGTTGTCTAGGCTAGAGTGATATGGCATTAGCCTAGCTCGCAGCAACCTTAAACTTCTGGGCTCAAGCAATCCTACTGCCTCAGCCTCCTAGTCGCCAGCTACTCAGGATTGCTTGAGCCCACAAGTGTGAGGTTGCTGTGAGCTAGGCTGATGCCACTGCACTCTAGCCCAGGCAAACAGAGTGAGACTTTATTTCTCAAAAAATGAAAAAAGAAATAAATTAAAAACAAAGACAAAAACAAAAATTCTCTGAGTGTTTCCTTGGTTTTTTGCAAACGGCCAGCTTGATTACTCACATTTTAGGTGATTTTGTAAGACTAGGAGAAAGGATCCTTCTGCCAATCCATGCTTCTCACTCCCTATCACAATGGAGTAATCACTAATTAAAGCTTTAAATGCCTCCTCCAATAGTAATGAAGTCTCATAATAAAATACTGATTAAACTAGAATGCTGAAAGAATGAGGAAATCGGTTTTTTCCCCCTATTAATTAGAATTGCTCTTTGGTTAAAACTGACAATGTACTGGAATATTCTTATTTTAGTAAATAATGCTAACAACATAAAGGAATCTATTAAAACGTATTTTATAGAACATAATGGATATTCTCCTACTATCGCAGCTCATTGCTGGGCATCAATTATGATATTACTATACAAATATATAATTTCTGTAGATATAAAAGGCACTAACAAATTGAAGGTAAAATACCCACACTCTCATTGCATAACCTTGAAAAACTGTTTTTAAGAATATTAGTTTTGCCAAAAAAAAGGTTCCCAGTTCTTAAAGAATTTCTAATAAAAATCAATCTGCTCAAATTGGGAACAAAACAAATTCTGCTTCAATAATTCTCTCACTAATAAATTGGAGAACTGAAAAGTGACAAAAAGAAGTAAACACTTACCAACTTGTGAAGTAAGTCATCTTTCTTACTGCACTGAGAAAAAAAAATCCAACTTTTGATGGTTTCAGCCACTTTTAACAGGATGCCTTGCTGAAGGAGATGAATGACATCGTATAGGATTATTAAGCACACCCAAACAGCAGAAAAACTTCAAATAACTTACCTTCAATCAATCGGAATTTTTATCAGAAAAAGGGAGAAAAAATTGTTATACTCTTTATCAACATGTCTCAGCCTCCTTACTGCGCATCAGAATCACCTGCAGATTTTAGTTAGAAACATATTCCTGGGCTTCCAAACTAAAGATTCTGATTGAACAGATTTGTAATGAGGCTTGGAAATCTGATTTTTTAAAAAGTATACTTAGGGGGTACAAGTGGTTTTTTGTTACATGGATAAATTGCATAGAGGAGAAGTCTAGGCTTTTAGTATACCTATCACTGGAAATCCCATTTTTTAAAAATCAGAGGAGCCAGAAGTCATACTGATTCAGCCCATTTATATTTGGAATACTATATGCTACCTATGTCAAGATGACCATGGTATTTATTTCAGAATGAAAACACAGGGTGCTCCAAGTTCTCAAATATTAAGAGATTATAGCCAAAGAAATAATTATAGCCAAGGAACATGATTAGGAGGACATTTAATAATCAAGTTTAACTACTATAAAGGCCTAAAACTAGGTAATGAATATAAAAATGATAATGAAGAAGGGTTAAATTTTAGGGACATAGAAGTTGACTTGATATGTCACTTAGTGACCAAAGCAATGCAGGAGTGATGGGAAATGGTAAGATAACTGAGAGGGTGGTGGTTTGGGTATAGAAGGACATATTTTTTGTTTATTTATTTTGGGGGTGGCTGAGGAAAGAAGTCCTATATTAAACATGTCGAATCTGAGCTTCCTGGGACACATGAAAATAGAAATGTCTAATAAGCATTTGGAACTCAACAAAGCCTGGAGAATGGCCAATGGAGGCAAAAAAAGTAGATGACATTGATCAGGGAAGGCACCAAATTGAGAAGAGAGCCTGATGCTAAAACCTTATGGAAAGAACTTTAAGAATAATCACAGGAAAAGACCAGAAAAAAAGAGAATGAATATTCATGGTAGGAATACTAGGACAGACTACTCAGTAAATACTTAACAAAAATCACATACAAAATAAAGTTAGGAAAGAGAGTGCAAACAATGCTAAGGACTGTTTCATCAAAAATTCATATTATAGCCAGGCGTGGTGGCTCATGCCTGTAATCATTCTGGGAGGCCAAGGCAGGATGATCACTTGAGGTCAGGAGTTTGAGACCAGCCTCAGCAAGAACAAGACCCCATCTCTACTAAAAATAGAAAAAATTAACCGGGCGTGGTGGTGCATACCTATAGTCCCACCTACTCCGGAGGCTGAGTCAGGAGGACAGCTGAGGTTGCTGTGAGCTAGGCTAATGCCACAGCACTCTAGCCCAGGCTACAGAGTAAGACTCTGTCTAAAACAAAAAATTATATTATATAAAAAATTGCTTTTCAAAGAAAATAACTGATACTTCATTCCTGGAACAGAATTTTGGGGGCAATTCTAAAATTACATTCCCTGAGAATGAACTAAATAATTCAACCAATCTTTCTGAAATTTAGCAGTCCCCAGATTTAGAAAAAAATAGCTCATACACTTAAAAAGTTATCTTAGAAATATGCAATATGAAGATAAAATAAACTTTCTAGACATATGGCAATTTTTAAAAATATCCTCTAGCTGTGCTTTTGTGCTATTGAGGAACAATACCTCAATTTTTTAGGGGATGCTATTTTAAACTCTCACTTGATTTATTTATAGACATTTCTATAAATAAAGATACTTGTCATAAATGACAAGAATTAACTACTTTAAAAACCAACATTTGTACCAAACAAAACAAAATAAAAAACTGGACGTGAATGCCCATCTCCTGCCCTAAGACCATCGTTTGGCCATTCTTTTTTGGTCTTGTTTTGCCAAGTAATCTCAAATCCAAGTTTTAATCTATAATAGCCTATTAGATATATCTAGATTTTTCTTTCAAAACCTTTCCCAGGAACATACTTGAAAGGGTCAAGGGAAGAAATGGTAAGTATGGAGGACCAGCAAAACTGGTTCTGATCCATGTGAGGTCTGATTCTCCTAACTCTCACCTTTTGGGTGTTAGTCAAAAAATTCTCCAAGTTGGCTTGGTGGCTCATGCCTGTAACTCTAGCACTCTAGGAGGCCGAGGCGGGAGGACCACTTGAGCTCAGGAGTTCAAGACCAGCCTGAGCTATAGTCAGACCTCGTCTCTAATAAAAATAGAAAAAATTAGCCAGGCTTGGTGGCATTTGTCTGTAGTCCCAGCTACTCAGGATTGCTTGAGCCCACAAGTGTGAGGTTGCTGTGAGCTAGGCTGATGCCACTGCACTCTAGCCCAGGCAACAGAGTGAGACTTTATCTCAAAAAAATGAAAAAGAAATAAATTTAAAAAACAAGACAAAACAAAAAATTCTCTGATGTTTCCTTGGTTTTTGCAAATGGGCCAGCTTGATTACTCACATTTTAGGTGATTTTGTAAGACTAGGAGAAAGGATCCTTCTGCCAATCCATGCTTTCACTCCCTATCACAATGGAGTAAATCACTAATTAAAAGCTTTAAATGCCTCCTCCCAATAGTAATTGAGTCTCATAATAAAATACTGATTAAACTAGAATGCTGAAAGAATGAGGAAATCGGTTTTTTCCCCCTATTAATTAGAATTGCTTTGGTTAAAACTGAAATGTACTGGAATATTTTCTTATTTTAGTAAATATGGCTAACAACATAAAGGAATCTATTAAACGTATTTTATAGAACATAATGGATATTCTCCTACTATCGCAGCCTCATTGCTGGGCATCAATTATGAGATATTTACTATACAAAAATATATAATTCTGTAGATATAAAAGGCACTAAAAATTGAGGTAAAATACCCACACTCCATTGCATACCCTTGAAACTGTTTTTAAGAAATATTAGTTTGCCTTCTTATAGTTTGTGCTCTCTTTTAAAAAAAGATTTAAAGAAAAAAAATTCCAGTTAATAGAGGATTCTTATTAGTTGGGTTCTCATTAAAGTTTTGTTATACTTTCCTGATTCCCTCTGGATAATGTCAATATTTAAGCAAATAATATATTTTAATTCTCAACCATATTAATTTCCTTAGCAGATATAAATTACCCACAAAATATTCCCAAGCAGCAAGGCTTCATGTTTATCTAAACAGGTGATAAAGTAAGATAAAGTCTTATCAGTGTGAGGAAGGTCAGGAAGGTGCTTATGAGGTGTTTTTTTTTGTTTTTATTTTTTTACAAGGGTAAGGGGAAAAGCAGCTTGAATAGTCAGTAAGGTAAAGAACAAAAAATTAAGCCATAAAGAATGAGCATGCTTTCTTACTTTTGGTAGGACTCTTGAAGGAAGCTTTTGTTGTCCCTCTGCCATGCATTTTTCTGTTTTTGGTGACAAAGAAGAACATATTTCAAAGTCTGTGTGTCCCAGATCCTGCAAGTACTGGTAAAGTGGAGAATTCTGAAAGAGACATATAAAATAAAGCAAATTTCAAGATCATTGTTATTTCAAAAGTTTTAGAGGCCAAATTCAATATTAAACCTCACTATCATGACTAGTATATCCAATTTATTTAAGGTTTCTTCTATAAGAATTGAATTATCTGTTACAATACAATGCCATTTAATGGCCCAAAACCATGAACATATGTTCAACATCACTAATCATGAGGCAAATGCAAATTAAAATCACAATGAGATACTACCTACCCCTGTAAGAATGGCAATTATTAAGAAGTCAAAAAACAATAGATGTTGACACAGATGCAGTGAAAAAAGAAAACACACACTGTTGGTGGGAATATAAACTAGTACAACCTCTATGGAAAACAGTCTGGAAATTCCTCAAAGAAATAAAAGTAGACCGACCATTTGATCTAGCAATCCCACGACTAGCTATCTACCCAAATGAAAAAAGGTCATTTTATAAGAAAAGACACCTGCACCTGAATATTTATCGCAGCACAATTCACAATTGCAAGGATATAGAATCAGGTTGATCATCACCTGATAAGTGATTAAAGAATATGTGGTATATATATACCATGGAGTACTACTCTGCCACATAAAGGAATGAAATAATGTCTTTTGCAGCAACTTAAATGGGACTGGAGAACATTATCCTAAGTGAAATATCTCAGGAATGGAAAAACAAATACCACATGTTCTCACTTATAAGAGGGAGTGAGGGAGTTAAGTGATGGCTACATATGATCATAAAGCAGTGTAATGGGCATTGAAAACTAAGAAGGGGGTAGGCTGACAGGGATGAGGGATAAAAATCTATCTATTGGGTAACAATGTACACTATTCTAGTGTACTCTGGTATACTAGAGCCCTGACTTCAGCATTCATCCACATAACAAAAAACACTTGTGACCCCTAAATCTATTGAAATAAATAAACAAACAATAAGAAAGATACCATTTAACAGAAATAAATCAACATACAATTCAACAGAGTGCCCAAATATGGAAAAACTCTAAAAGAAACACACGGATTTTTTTGAGCGAGTACCAGCAAGAAAAAATGGATTTAGGAATATAAATAGATTGTTAGGCAATTTCTTTGCCCAAATTTTTGTAGTCTTAGAGTAGACTGCTTCAAAATAGCCAATGCTGGCTATAGATAGCTCCTAAGAAGATCTACAGTGAAAAATAGTTATTACTCAAAACCAATTAAACAATGATTATATCATATTAATTATAATTTTATCTTACTATTATACTCATTAATTCATTCAAGCACAAATATGTGTTATCTACCATATGCTCAGCACTGTGAACAAACATAAAACTCTTCAAGAAAGTTACCTTAGATGAGCTATATCTCACATACAAGCATATGGCAAATGAGAGACAGTATGGCTAATAAAAAATTAAAACAGTGGTTAACAGCACAAACTCTGGAGGCAAATAGGTTTAAATCTCAACTCTGCCTCTTACTAACTAAAATAATCTATGGCAATTTATAATCTTTCTGTGCTTCTGCTGTCTCATCTAAAAATGGGAGTAATAATAACACTTAGTTCAAAGATTTCTTATGAGAACTAAATTAACATATAACATTACAACAGTCTCTGGCACATAGTAAGCACTCAATTTACACTTTTAACTGTATATAAGCTATGTGGAAAGAGCACAGGTTTTTGGAATAGCACTCCCCCCCAAAATCACTCCAACCCCATCAAAAAGAAATATCAACATCACTGTTTGATGTAAATCTACTCAATAACTTTTTCTGGATAATTAGCAAGCTTTAATTTGAACTTTCAATCTTCTCTAAAGCACAAAACTGGTAACATGTTTAAAAATAAATCTTGGTTCCATTCAACAAAATATTTAAATCTTCAAAAAGACTGTACGTTAGTTAGATGTTAGAGATGTAACAGCAACAACAAAAGCCCAACAACACAGCTAACAAAGTAACACATGGCAAAATCTTAATTATTTTACTAGCATTGTCTCAGTTAAGGTTCAAAACAAACCCTTAATGCTATTATGATTATCATCATCATCATCATCATCATTATTATTGTTATCCCCATTTCATAGATGAGAAAACAGATTCACTCAGAGAAAGCAGGAGAAATAGGATTGACTGAGAAGTCTGACTTCAAAGCCAATACTCTGAAATATTATACTACACTACCTAAAATAAGAAATAGTTCCCCCTGTGTCTAGTGAGGAAGACACCAAAAACTTACTTATAGTTTAGTATGAAGTCACTAAACAAGTTAACAATGACAGGGATGTATTGGATGCTATGGAAACAGAGGAGAAACAGCTAAATTGACAAAAACTTTTAGGGGATATATTCTTACATTCAGAAGAATGACGAAGAGTGGGAATTTGCTGGCCTGGAAGCAATGTGCTCGGTATCAATTTGAGAAAACAGGAATTGAATCAAAAGCTATATTTAATCTCTTTTTTAAGAAAAATATTTTAAAAATTATAAGGAGGCATATCTTTCTTATCCCTCCACCAGATTTTAAATCTCTGGTGGCAAAAAATAGTTAATCTCTATATCACCCATAGTATATATTCAAATATTGCCTTAAACTAATCTGTATTTTCAAATTGAACTGTAACCCTCATCCAACCCTGCTCCCAGGGTGACAAAAGAACAAGAATGCTAGTTCATTTGTTTGGGCTGACCTTTTGAAAAGTTTACATACTTTAAGAAAAAAACTTGTTTTTGAGGCAGTAGAACTCTTTCTTCAAATGAACTCCCATGTAGAAAGAACAATAAATAAGACTGATCAAAGTGGAGTTACTCTAATTCAGGGTCAGAAACCTTTTTCTGTAAAAGGCCAGATAGTAAATATTTTAGGCTTTGCAGGCCATATTATGGTCTCTGTCACAACTAATCAAGTCTGCTGCTATAGTGAGAAAGCAGACACAGACAATACGTAAACCAATGAGTGAGGTTACGTCCCAATAAAACTTTATTTACGGACACCAAAATTCGAACTTCAAATAATTTTCATGTGTCACAAAACCATTCTTTTGATATTTTCCCCACCCATTTAAAAACACTGAAACCATTATTTGCTCACCAGTCATACAAAAATGGGCAATGGGACTGGCATATCTGGCCCAATAGCCTTAATTTGCTGACCCCTATTCTAATTAAAGTCTCAATCAAGATCTGGAGGCACACTCTTGTCTGCTATGTGTTCTCTGGAAAGAGGTTTAGAGACTGGGGGTGAGGGTAAATTTCTTTTCATTTAGATTGTGACATCATTTTTTACTGCACATATAACTGATGCCCCCTCAGCACTGACCCCAATGTCCCTTCCTTTTCCAGTTTATGTCACAGCTCAGAAAATAACAAAATGGATTACCTGTAGCATAGAATTTTTTAACAATGATAGAAGAGAAACAATGAATACTTTGTTTCTCATATGTGTTCTGCATATAAACTTAGAGCATATGTACTCAGTTTGAATCATCATAAACTGGAACACTTGCTATTTCATATTTCACAAAAACAGCAGCATTAATCATTCACCCTGTATACCACAGATAATGTCCAATAGCATTATGGGACACAGTAAATTCTACCAGTAAGTTCTTCTGCAAACATAGAATTTCTCAACTTTTTGGCTGGTTACACAAGCTTCTTGCTAAAGGTGTGATATAACCATTTCTGCTATGTAACTAAATGATGCCTTAGTAGTTTTGGTTTCTTCTCCATCTTTAGTGACAAACTTCATCACTTTCATCCGAGAAAGTAATGTATGACCCTTCCAGAAAAAGCTGGCTTGCTAAGGTTATCACTGTACTTTGTTACATGGCTTTCTGTAACAATTTGACAAAGTTTCATAGAAGACAATCTTTTGGAGACAGGAACGAATGTATTGCAAGTCCAATAAAATAGTTTCTAGTCATCTACCACTACATTTTTACATTTATACACCTCTATTTTTGGCTGTTAATGCAAATATATCACTTCCTAATACATACAAACCCAGACACTATATGAACACTAAAGCTCTATTCATTATGTTTACATTAATTCTTTTAAAATGTTTGGGGATAAAATTACTATCACTTTTTCTCTGAAACTGCCAAATAACCTGTATATTATTAATTGGTTTCAGAAAAATCACATCCTGACCAGTGGGTCTCAATTTTTTTGGTCTCAGGATTCCTTATGGTCTTAAAAATTATTGAGGGCCTCAAAGAGCTTTTGTTTATGTAGATGTCTAATGACATTCATCGTATTAGAAATTAAAACTAAAAAAATTAAATACTTATTATCTACTTAAAAACAGCAATACACCCATTACAATTTTAATGTAAACAACATATTTTTAATGAAAGAATTTCACAAAATAAAACAAGTTTATTGAGAAGAGTGGACTGTTTTATATTTTTGCAAATCTCTTCATCTTCTGGCTTAGAACAATGCCGGATTCTTACATTTGCTTCTGCATTCAATATGTGGCAATTTATGGTTTTGGATAAAGTATACAGAAAAATCAAGCCATTAATAGATATGTAGTTGGAAAGGGAGAAATATTTTAATAGCCTTTTCTGCTGGGTGTGGTGCCTCACGCCTGTAATCCTAGCACTCTGGGAAGCCAAGGCAGGAGAATTACTTGAGCTGAGGAGTTCAAGAACAGCCTGACCAAGAGGGGGACCCACGTCTCTACAAAAAATAGAAAAAAATTGGTCAAGCATGGTGGTGCATACCTGTAGCCCCAGCTACTGGGAAGGCAGAGGTAGGAGGATCCCTTGAACCCAGGGATTTGAGGTTGCAGTGAACTATGATGATGTCACTGCACTCTACCTATGGTGACAAAGCAAGACTCTGTCTTAAAAAAAAAAAAGCCTTTTCTGATAACTGTAGTATCAAAGAATAGCCATATCAAAACTCAACAAGTAATAGCTTCAGAAAGGTTCATTTTAACATAGAATATGCAACCATACTCATGAGCTTCTTGTATACTGTGCATGCATGAAAAAATGAGTGAAAAAAGCAAATAGTGTCTTAGTATTAAAACATGATCACCAAATATAAAATGATTTATTTTTATTTTTTCTTTCACAGCAAGGTGAGGCAATTTTCTCTATTATTATAACTTTTTTCCACTGGTTGAAGAAAAATACAACCACAAATATGTTAATTGTTTTCTGAAGACAAGTCATTAGAACTGGACTCAAACTGTAATTTTAAACTATTGGAGAATGTTACTGTTGCCAAAAGAAATATGAGAAACCTCAGACACAGCATGTGGGAGCTCCTCCTCAGGAAATCCTTCTGGTTCACTATTCCTGTAAATCTTAGCTGACAGAAAATACAAATCATAACACCAGAAAGAATTTTGCTAAATAAAAAAGCCAAAAACCTTTGGTTCTAGTGGCAGAAACATATTTTTGCAAGAAAAATAAACAAAAATCAACAGAAAACCCCAAGATTTTTGCTGAAGAAGGACTTCAAGAAAAATGACCCATTCAAGTCTTACACTACTGGTACTGCATGCCAGCCTCTCTGCCCAGTCCACTTAAAGATATCAGATCCCCTACCCTAATGGATACATAAAGTATGAACTACCCACTTAATGCACTGCTTATTTTCTTCATGATCTATGCTGCATTCTGTAAAGTGTCAGTATCATTATTGCTGGTTTGCTTTTCTTTTTTTTTTTTTTTTAAGAGGCAGGGTTTCTCTCTGTTGCCCAGGCTCAAGAGCAGTAGCATGATCATAGCTCACTGTACCTTGAATTCCTGGGCTCAAGCAATCCTCCAGAATCAGGGCTACAGGCACATGCCTGGCTATTATTTCAAATATTTTTTTGTAGAGGTAGGGGTCTTGCTATGTTGACCAGGCTGGTCTCAACTCCTGGCCTCAACTGACCTGCCCACTTCAGCCTCCTAAAACACTGGGATTACAGGTGTGAGCCACTGTGCCTGGCCTGCATTTTAAAATGAAGATTAACTAGTTCAGAAATGGAAGTGATGGGTAAAATGCTTTATTACTAGCTTCACTCTTCTAAACTGCTTTAAACTCTTACAGAGAGAATAAGTTGTAAGCTTTTGGGTCTATGACCAGAGAGAAATAGGCCAAAGATGGCAGAATTAGGCAAGTCACTTGATAATAAATACTAATACTTACTAAACATCCCCTATGTGCCAGGAAACATTTAGGCATGGGATAAAACAAAACAAGCAGAGGTCTTTGCTAAAATGTTTCATCCTGTGATACTTCTGATAAGACTATAGTTTATCAGGCTTTCAATATTACCAAGGAAAATACTGAGTGGTCTGGTACTTTTTAGGTAGGCTGTTTCTGGAAAATCCTTTCTTTGTCTCAGCTTCCTTAAGTACAAAATAAAAATGTTATGAGACTCTTAAACTTGTTCATGTAGTAAAATAAAATTCATGATGCTCTCTGAAAAACAAGATAAAAAAGTGGTATGTTAAAATATAGAATTTTGTACTAAACCAAATGCCATGTTATCTTACGCAATCAGCTAAATCCAGAATAGAGAAATTTGACAGATCAAATTGCCCACTTTCTTCAATAAATAAATGACATAAAAAAGGTAAGGGGGTGGGGAAAATGTTAAAGACCACAGGGACATATCACCTAAATGCAACATATGGACCTTGCTTCAATCCTCATTGGAACAACTATAAGAAAATATTTTTGAGAATTTGAGGAAATCTAAACACAGATCAGGTATTAGATATTGGGGAATTATTAGGGTCATCATTTTTTTAAAAAGTTCAGTCTTTGTCCATTTTGTATTGCTATAGCAGAATATCTGACACTGGGTAATTTATAAAGAAAAGAAGTTTATTTAGTTCACAGCTCGGTAGGCGAGGAAGTTTAAGGGCATGGCGCTGGCTTACAGCAAGGACTTTCCTGCTGTGACATAACATGGGAGAGGTCAAAGGGGAAGTGGACACCAGTGAAGGGGCCAAACACAAAGGACATCCTCGTTTTTTTTTTTTGTTTGTTTTGTTTTGTTTGTTTGTTTGTTTGTTTGTTTTTTAACAACCCATTCTTGTGGGAACTAATCCATTCTCAAGAAAACAAATCCAGTTTTGAGAAAGAACTCACTCACTACCATAAGAATAGCACCAAGCCACCCACAAGGGCATAGCCCACATGACCTAAATGCCTCCCAATGAGGCCACTCCTCTTAAAGGTTCCACCTCCCAATGCCTTTGTGTTGGCAATTAAATTTCAACTTGAGTTGTGGTGAGGACAAACCACATACAAACCATAGCAAAGTACTTATCTGTTACAGGTACATATGATGCATTTACAGGTTAAATTAGGTAATGTCTGGGATTTGCTTTAAAATACTCCAAGACAAAAGGAAGGGGTGGGAGATGAGACAGTTTGATAAAATTAACAGCTGCTAAAGCTGAAGCTGAAGCTGAGTGATAGGTACATGGAGTTTTCATTGTAGTATTCTCTTTTTATATGTAATTTTAAAGTCCATAATAAATGTCTTTTAAAAATCAGATGCTAAATTTTCCTAGATTCTGATATAACAGGTTTAGAAAATATAATGGTAAAAATATTAAAAACTTCAACTTATTTTAAACTGAGGGAAGATTACCTTATATTTTATGTATTTATTTTGCTTTTCATAATTTCTTTTTTTTTTTTTTTTTTTTTTTGAGACAGAGTCTCATTCTGTTGTCCAGGCTAGAGTGACATGGCATTAGCCTAGCTCGCAGCAACCTTAAACTTCTGGGCTCAAGCAATCCTACTGCCTCAGCCTCCCGAATAGCTAGGACTACAAGCATGCACTACCATGCCTGGCTAACTTTTTCTATATATTTTTAGTTGTTCAGCTCATTTCTTTTCTATTTTTTTGAATTCCTGACCTCTAGCATCTTTTCTATTTTTTTAGTAGAGACAGAGTCTTGCCCTTGCTCAGGCTGGTCTCAGACTCCTGAGCTCAAACAATCCACCCACTCGGCCTCCCACAGTGCTAGGATTACAGGCATAAGCCACCCTGCCTGGCCTAAATTTTTTATTTCAGAATATTACGGAGGTACAAACGTTTAGGTTATATATATTGCCTTTGTACCACCTGAGTGAGAGCTACAAGTGTGCCCATCCCCCAGACAGTGCGCACCGCACACATTAGATGTGAATTTACCTATCCCCTCCTCCCCACTCCCACCTGCTGAACACCCAAATAATGTTACTATGATATGTGCACATAAGTATTGTTCAATTAGTACCAATTAAATGGTGAGTACATGTGGCGCTTGCTTATCCATTCTTACGATACTTCATTTAGAAGAATGGTCTCCAGTTCCATCCAGGATAATACAAGAGGTGTCAGTTCACCATGTTTTTTGTGGCTGAGTAGTATTCCATGATACACATATACCACATTTATTAATCCTTCACCTGTAGTACCAGATACTCAGGAGGCTTAGGTGGGAGGATCACTTAAGGCCAGGAGTTTGAGGCTGTAGCACACCATGATCACACCTATGAATAGCCACTGCACTCCATTCAGCCTTGGCAACGTAGCAAGAACTGGCTCTAAAAAAATTTCTTTTTTTAGTTAGAAAAAGGCAAATCAAGTCTTACAAAGTTCCATATAGTGGTAGTGGTACTTTTAATGTCTATTGAAAGAGAACATAACAAAAGCAAATGTTAACATAGCAAGATCTAAAATGAATTTGTGAGTTAATCACACATGCATCAACTAGTATAACATGTACACTTGATATTTTATGTCTTCATATAAAATATTCAGATAATGCTGGGCAAGTATTTGAACTTGCAGAATTCCTGCAACAATGCCCAGGCCTCTCAATACTCCCACCAAGGACAACATGTCAAAGGTATCCTCTAACAACATGATTTCAAGTAACCGGTCTCAGTGGAGGCACAAATAAGTGTCTAATTAGCTGTTAATTTTAATTATTCACACTTTCTTTCAAAGTAATGTAAAGTAATGTAAAGTTCATGGAATATGCAATTCTAAATTATGTGATTTTGGAGCCATGTTTTTAAACTGCCGCTAAATTAAATAATTAAAAACAAAAAACAGATACAATAAACTATGTTCTTACAAAGCAGTAGTTTTCAATAAAAGTAAATCATCACTGCATAACCCCCACTCCTGCCCAATATTTGAGAATGTCTGAAGACATTTTTCATTGTAAAACCTAACGGGTGGGCTGGGCATGGTGGCTCATTCCTGTTATCCTAGCATTCTGGGAGGCCAAGGCCGGTGGATTGCTCAAGGTCAGGAGTTTGAAACCAGCCTGAGCAAGAGTGAGACCCTGTCTCTACTAAAAATAGAAAGAAATTAATTGGACAACTAAAAATATATAGAAAAAATTAGCCGGGCATGGCAGCACATGCCTGCAGTACCAGCTACTCGGGAGACTGAGGCAGAAGGATTGCTAGAGCTCAGGAGTTTGAGGTTGCTGTAAGCTAGGCTGATGCCACCGCACCTCTAGCCTGGGCAACAAAGTGAGACTCTGTCTCAAAAAATAAAAAAAGAAATAAAAAAAAAGAAACTAATGGATGTATGTGGGGAGTACAACTGGCAGCTAGTGAGTACAGGTCAGAATGCTGTCCAACATCCTACACTACACAGGGCAATCCTCACAAAGAGTTATCTAGCCCAAAATGTCATTAGTGCCAAGGTTGAGAAATCTGTTTTAGAGTATAAAGAATCATAGGTTGAAAAACCAGCAAGGCACAGTGGTTCATGCCAGTAATCCTATCACTTTGGGAGGCTGAGGTGGGAGGATTGCTTGAGGCCAGGAGTTTGAGACCAGCCTGAGCAACAGCCATACCCTATCTCTACTAAAAATAGAAAATTAGCTGCATGTGGTGACATGGACCTGTAGTTCCAGCTACCTGGGAGGCTGACGTAGGAGGATCCCTTGAGCCCAGGAATTTGAGGTTGCAGTGAGCTATGATGAGGCCACTGCACTCCAGCTTGGGCAACAAAGACCCTGTCTCAAACAAATAAATAAAAACACAAAAATGGGTGGCCTAGCATCTGCGTTCATTATCTAGTTTTCATTTTGGGAGAATGCTAGATTCAAAAAGCAAAAACCAAAATGGAAAATTAGTTATTTAATGTTTTTCCATTACTTACAATCTAAAAACTCAACAGGTTTTCTAAGAGTCAAATGAGTTACCTTCAAAATAACTACACCAGAGTTTATGCATTGAAATTTTAATCAGCCACTAATATTATATAAAAACCAAAATAACTGCAGCACTCAGTTATACTTAAATAACTACTGTGATGATCAATATGAACCATTAAATAGGCTCAGAAATGTTAGTATAATAGTAAAAGTATCTGAAGAAAAATAATTTTCTGTATAATCTCACATTTTACTCTAGTAATGATGTAAATTTTAAAAATTTTAAGACTTCTAGGTGAGCCAAATTATTAGGACATTATGTCTACATGAACTTCATGTTTATCTGACTGAACTTCAGTCATCCAATAAAATAATTTCCTTATTTAAAAAAATTCTGTTGGGATATCTACATAAAAAAGAAATGTACATATAACTGAGCCACAAATATTAACTATGAAAGTTAAATATCTAAATAAACCTAGCCTCTTCCACAAATGGCACCTTACTGAGTGGTTTCCTTTAGCTACTGACACGCTGTCAATGTGAATCCTACAAGCCTGTGGTCCCCAACCCCCAGGTTGTGGACCAGTACCAATCCATGGCCTATTAGGGACTGGATGCTGCACCCGGTCTACATCCTCGTGCCTCCCCCCATCTGTGGAAAAATTGTCTTCTATGAAAGCGGGGGGGGCACACAGCAGAAGGTGAGCAGCGTGCAGAGCAAAGCTTCATCTGTATTTACAGCTGGTCCCCTTCACTGGCATCACTGCCTGAACTCCACCTCCTCCCCTACCTCTCTACCCCCCACCCCCATCTGTGGAAAAATTGTCTTTCATGAAACCGGTCCCTAGTGCCAAAAAGGTTGGAGACCACAGTGTATAGGTCCACAATCCAGCACCTCCATCAGGTTAAAAAACTGCCAACCTCCTTCTATCTTGCAGCTCAACACTGTTATTATTATAATGTTTCTTTCTGTTTTTCTTCTCTGTGGCTTCTTCTGTCCCAATCTGAACCCTTCATGCTCTTCACAATAACCCTGATGCACCCTTGAGACTCTTTCCTTCCCTCTTCCAGAAGAGCTGACCTCAGAGCCATATATCCTTTTAGAAGAGTAATTTGTAGACTGCAACAACTATTGGCCAAATTCTGATTCTCATTCCTCACAACTATCTGTTCTGCCTTACAGCTACCAATGACTGATTACTAATAGCAGTCCAGTGGAAAGATCATCTGATTAGAAAATGGGCAATTATCATTTATTCATTTATCACTAACCAAATATTTATTAAGCATATACTATGTGTCAGGCAATAGAGTTCTAATACATTAGTAGTTTTCTGCCATTAAATTCTCTCTGGGGATATACAAGAAAAAGTTAAGTTAATTTCACCTATAAAAGGAAACTAAGCTCAATTACTCAACCTAATGGATTTTTATTTATTTATTATTTCTCCTGCTTTGCTATTTTTTTTTTTTTTTTTTTTGAGACAGAGTCTCACTTTGTTGCCCAGGCTACAGCGAGTGCTGTGGCGTCAACCTAGCTCACAGCAACCTCAAACTCCGGGGCTCAAGCAATCCTTCTGCCTCAGCCTCCTGAGTAGCTGGAACTACAGGCATGCACCACCATGCCTGGCTGATTTTTTCTATATGTATTAGTTGGCCAATTAATTTCTTTCTATTTATAGTAGAGACGGGGTCTCACTCTTGCTCAGGCTGGTTTTGAACTCCTGACCTCAAGTGATCCGCCCGCCTCAGCCTCCCAGAGTGCTAGGATTACAGGCAGGAGCCACCCTGCCCGGCCTGCTTTGCTATTTTTATATTAAAAAATTTAAGCAATACAAAAAGATATAAA